CTCCATTTTTTCACATCACACGCAGCTAGTATATACCACTAGCACAACACAAATCTTACATAATGTACAACACACAATATACATGCAGATCAAACTATTTATCATGCCAACATTCATAAAAACGAAAGAAGCACCAACCTTGGTGGAGACCAAACGAAACGAAGGAAGAAACAGGGAAGAAGAAATGAAAAAGAAAATGGGAAAATGGTGAACAGAGGAATAAGAGAGGAGAGGAAGAAAGAAAGTAAGAGTGTGGGGGTAGGGGAGGAGTGTGCGACTGAGGGAATAAGAGAGAGGTAACAAATTAGGGTTTTAAGAAAAAACAGAAAAAGGTAAATGGTAAAAGTAAAAAGGGAATTTTCAGAATAAAATGAAAATTAGGGAGATGTAGGGAGAATAATGTAATAATGTACGGATAAGCTCTCATTTTGTGACGATGAGTTTCTTTACGTCTATATAACTAATCATAACTTATGGGTATTATTAGCCACATTTTTTCCTAATAAATTTACAATATGCACATTATCTTATAAGTGATCATCGACCATAATTCCATATATTCCTGAATATACCATTGTTGTAGTAGTTAATGCCTACATTTCACACAGGGTTTTGTTAAATTTAGCGTATGAACTCTCTAATAATCTACACTAGTAAATAAATAGTTTTTTAAACTTCGGTTTCAAAAAAACTGAAGCGTATAAAAATGCGGTGGTAATTTCGTAATTCTGGCGACACTATATGTCTCGGTTCTTCAGTTTGAACCGATGCCTAAGGGGGTATACTACCTCAGTTCTTTCACCAACCGAGGCAAAACATCTTACTGAATCAGACTTTTCACCTGACAACTTTTTTGAAAGAGGTTTGATGCCTCGGTTCTCTGACCAACAGAGGCAAAAATCCCTGACAGCCTTTTCAAAATAGGCCTACTGCCTCGGTTCTCTGACCAACCGAGGCAAAAAACCTTGATAACTTTTTCGAAATAGGCCTACTACCTCGGTTCTCTGACCAACCGAGACAGTATGTCCTGCCAAAAATTGATTTTGAACGTTTCAAATTCATTTTGTCAACCTTTGCCTTAGTTCCATTTTAACCTATGTCATAGGCCCTTTATGTCTCGATTTAAGCGCGAACCGAGGCCTATAATTAGTAGATATTTTCAAAATTTTCATTTACAATTTTATTTTGAGCTTTTTCNGTTTTTTGTCTTTTTACAGTGGGATTGGAAAAGGAGTAGATGTTGTTGTTTCCAGTGTAGAGGCTTATCTTACTGCACTAAACAAAATGCTCCATTTCAAGGAATGATTTATATCTTTTAATAGCCGAATGTATGCAATAAGTTCCATTGGCTGTTTGTAATTTCTCAGTTAAGTTTAAAATGGTGTATTCTAATCTACTTTTCAAAGTTTGCATATCGAGCGATAGCTATGCCAAAAACCAGACTATGTAATGTTTCCTTGATATATTTGAATTGATATATTTGAATTGCAAATGTTAATTCCTTTTTCCTTTTAAGGGTTGCTTTATGTTGGATTTAACGTAAGGTCGATAATTTATCCATTTTTTAATGTAATTTTCTAGTTGTGGGGCAATTCAAGCCCTTATATTTTTTACTTTTAAATTATGCATTATATTTGATTTAATAGTTCTTTTTCTATTTCATTTTATGCGTTGTGTTTTATTATTTTGGGTTTAGTTATTTATTTTTTGGAGGTTTTTTGTTCTGAGATCATTGAAATATTCGTAAGTTTTTATTGAGTTATGAGAGATTTACCAAATACATGATAGATAAATTTTTAAGGACAATGAATTTATACATTTCAGAAATCAAGTTTTGTTTGTGTTATTATGAGCCTTTATAATTATAAGTGACCATGTAATATGTTATGAAGGTTGGATAACTTAATTCATTAACGTTGAACTGATTGCCATATATATATATATATATATATGCTTGTTTAAATGTCACAGGTCATTTACTCATTATTATAAGTTTTTTCTGTGGCAGAGTAATGGAATATAAAGAGCATGAAAATGGAGGATGGAATGTTGTGTCATAAATGAAAAGTAAAAGGGGCAGACGAGGCAATTGACATGGAGTAGAGGATGTGTTGATGATATTGACATAGCAGCAACGACTGATTCATTAAAGAAGGGTATCTTAGTATTTTTAATTTTGGTCTATTGGAAAGGGGTGCAATTTGTAATAGAAAACGTGTGTAAGAAAAATGTTAGGTAGCATACGTGTTCGGGTCCACTATTGAGATAAGCTTTATTTTTCAACATAATCCAACCAATATCTTGTGAGAGGGTTTCTCCCTACATCACCACATATGCTTCTTCCTTCACCATCCCATTCCATAACTGTCCCTCGATAAAAAGTTAAAAAAAAATGGAAAGAAATCATTGAAAGCATAAATAAATATGAGAGATCCATTGGATCTTTAAAAGAAACCAATACGAATATCAACATCGGTTGAAACTCAACTAATCGTCATTTTCGTTGAGAACCATTGGGATATCTATTGGGCTCCAGTTTTGGTAGTCCTTGATTTTTTCAGACATCTTCCAGATAGAGAATTCCACGTGCAACGTTGGAATTAGAAATATATATTTTTTTCGTTAAGCTCTTCAAGGATTTAGCCCTTTTCTGAATAAATCGTGAGTGATGTTCCTTTGTGACTCAAAAATTGTCTTTTGTTCCATTACAACATCTCCCAGGATCCCTCGTCACAGTACATACAATTGTTTCACTCTTCTAGTAATCATTAAGGAAAGAATAAAAAATTAATAAAACAAAATGAAACGGTTCGAAAATTTACATTCCTGCTACTCATGCTTAATTGATATAATTTTTCACTTCCCAGTTTTGTACTATATACATCAAGGGAATAAAAGAGGCATAAGTAAGTAGCGTGCAGTGGTGGAATCATAGTGAAGTGTTGATGGCGCATTTTTCATTTGCGTTCAATAGGTTGGCAAAGTCCTTTGCAACCAAGAGAAGTGAGAGTTCCGATGGATGCAATGGAAGAGAAGCAATGGAAGAGAAGCTACGGGCAATGGCAAAGGAAGCCAGAAAGATCACTTCATGTTGCATAGCTCCGGCACCATTAATGTTGACGGTTCAAACAACTTTACCTCACTAAAATAATAAACGAAAAAAAATAATACAGAATTCGAAGGCTTCAACGGAAATGGAATATCCGTTAGGCCTTCAACNGCTGAAAGATGGAAGCTTGCGGTGTATGTAGTTGGTTGTGAGCCAAAAATTGTTGTTTGGAGAAGATGAAGAATTGGGGACGAAGAGAACATTTAGATTAGAATTGATTTTTTTTTTCAAGTTGAGAAAAAAATATGTTTTTGGCCTCTCTAAAAACTTTAGTTTCAGTCCTACAATTTTTTTTTCAGAAATTCATATTATTATTATACGTTTCAACTCTCACCATGCCACGTGTTCAAAAATTGACACATCACTCTCCCATTTGTGCAAAAACTTAACCCCTGTTAAATAAATTTAACGGTAGGGTCTCAATTGACTCAAATTAGCACTTTTAAGGACTTAATTGGGAATTCTAATAAGTCGGGATCAAACTGAAAAAAATCAACATAAATAGGGACAATTAAAGGGTTTAAACCTAAAATTTGTGACTCACCATAAAGTAGAATCAGCTTAGTTGACCTTTTTTTTAGCTCAATTCTATCCGAATCAAATTGTGTCAATCAAGTTGATTCACTTTTATATTTCAATTTGGTATTTTGGTTCATCATGTTTATTAACTTTTTTATTCGTAATTTAGTAATAATTGATTAATTAATTTTTGTCTTAGACTTCATATATTTAAATTATAACTTTTTTTTCCTTCGTTTATACTTCCTCACCGTCTAGCGGACGTCAAGCTTTGAAAAATCGACTTAAAGAGGTATGTAACTCTTTTTTGTCATGATCAAAGGCACAGTTACCATTCTTCTCATTGAGCTATTTCTACCTTTTCAGCTTGGTTATGAACTCAAGGAGGATGAAGTTGAGAGTGTATTTAGAAACTTCAAAGCAATGGCTGAAAAAAGAAAGGTTAATAATTAGTTTTCTTTTTCCTTTTTTTTCATTTCTCAATATTATACACAGTTTATTGTACTTTATGACTAATCCGGATTAAAAGATAAAATACTTTTAGAAGCATGTTGGGACATATATAGATTATTTCATGAATTTTAGAATACTCAAGATTTATTCATTTTTCATAAAAAAAAACTTAAAATTTATCCATTTCAATAAATTAAAAAAATTGCACCCTTTTTATACATAATCGGATTTATTCACTCTTATTTAACGTCAAATTATAACCTACTATCGAACAAGAAAACATAGTTTTGCAGCCCTAAATTAAATTACTAATCATAAATAGAAGCATCCAAAATTTTGAAGCATAAAAATAGAGAAAAGCAAAAGTTTCACAATATAATTGTTGCTATTTTTATAATGTCTTTAATTGTGACTCCATTTTGGTCATCTTGAACTAATGTCCTCTTATTATCTGACTCCAATATTTTTCTTTTCCTTAGAGAGTTACTGATGTTGACCTTAAAGCATTGGTATCAGATAAAGTTTCTGAAGTAGAACCTATTTGGAAACTTGGTGGGTTGCAGGTAAATTGAAATGAGATTAATTTTAAACTATATATATGTATGATAATAATACAAAAGAAAGAAGAAAAATTAATGAATATCTATCAATGTAGGTGACATGTGGAACTCTGAATTTTTCAACAACAAGTGTCCAACTTGTTTCAATTGACAGTAGGACACATGTTGCTTGTTCTGTTGGAAAAGGACCAGTGGATTCAGCTTACAAGGCTGTCGATCTCATTGTGAAGGTTTGATGTTTAACAATTTCCAACTTTCTATTTTTATTATCCTTTTCCATAGTTTGCTATTTTGTGTACTCTTATGAAATTCTATTGATATACAAGTATTTATGAACTTCTCTCCCAAGGATTAGGGTTTTCATGGGAAACTTTGTGTATATGAAAACATTGTAGTTCAATGGTTGGGTCATATATGGAAGTTTCATCATCTAAGATCAATGATATTATTTTCCAATTTATATTTTTTAAATGAAAATGAAAATGAAGGAATTTTACAATTTTTTATGCAGGAAGCTGTGAAAGTACTTGAGTACTCTCTAAATACAGTGACTGAAGGCACCGATGCAATTGCAACTGTACATGTTGTACTTCGAAAAGAGAACACGAACTCACATACTTCTACTTTATTAAATGGAAACATAATTTATCCAACATTTAGGTATTTTTTATTAAAACTCGATTGCTTTAGTATATCATTCTTTTACTAATAGTCCTCGTTTTTTGTCTTTTTACAGTGGGATTGGAAAAGGAGTAGATGTTGTTGTTTCCAGTGTAGAGGCTTATCTTACTGCACTAAACAAAATGCTCCATTTCAAGGAATGATTTATATCTTTTAATAGCCGAATGTATGCAATAAGTTCCATTGGCTGTTTGTAATTTCTCAGTTAAGTTTAAAATGGAGTATTCTAATCTACTTTTCAAAGTTTGCATATCCAGCGATAGCTATGCCAAAAACCAGACCATGTAATGTTTCCTTGATATATTTGAATTGCAAATGTTAATTCCTTTTTCCTTTTTCTTTAAGGGTAGCTTTATGTTGGATTAAACGTAAGGTCGATAATTTATCCATTTTTTAATGTAATTTTCTAGTTGTGGGGCAATTCAAGCCCTTATATTTTTTACTTTTAAATTATGCATTATATTTGATTTAATAGTTCTTTTTCTATTTCATTTTATGCGTTGTGTTTTATTATTTTGGGTTTAGTTATTTATTTTTTGGAGGTTTTTTGTTCTGAGATCATTGAAATATTCCTAAGTTTTTATTGAGTTATGAGAGATTTACCAAATACATGATAGATAAATTTTTAAGGACAATGAATTTATACATTTGAGAAATCAAGTTTTGTTTGTGTTATTATGAGCCTTTATAATTATAAGAGACCATGTAATGTAATATGTTATGAAGGTTGGATAACTTAATTCATTAACGTTGAACTGATTGCCATATATATGCTTGTTTAAATGTCACAGGTCATTTAATCATTATTATAAGTTTTTTCTGTGGCAGAGTAATGGAATATAAAGAGCATGAAAATGGAGGATGGAATGTTGTGTCATAAATGAAAAGTAAAAGGGGCAGACGAGGCAATTGACATGGAGTAGAGGATGTGTTGATGATATTGACATAGCAGCAACGACTGATTCATTAAAGAAGGGTATCTTAGTATTTTTAATTTTGGTCTATTGGAAAGGGGTGCAATTTGTAATAGAAAACGTGTGTAAGAAAAATGTTAGGTAGCATACGTGTTCGGGTCCACTATTGAGATAAGCTTTATTTTTCAACATAATCCAACCAATATCTTGTGAGAGGGTTTCTCCCTACATCACCACATATGCTTCTTCCTTCACCATCCCATTCCATAACTGTCCCTCGATAAAAAGTTAAAAAAAAATGGAAAGAAATCATTGAAAGCATAAATAAATATGAGAGATCCATTGGATCTTTAAAAGAAACCAATACGAATATCAACATCGGTTGAAACTCAACTAATCGTCATTTTCGTTGAGAACCATTGGGATATCTATTGGGCTCCAGTTTTGGTAGTCCTTGATTTTTTCAGACATCTTCCAGATAGAGAATTCCACGTGCAACGTTGGAATTAGAAATATATATTTTTTTCGTTAAGCTCTTCAAGGATTTAGCCCTTTTCTGAATAAATCGTGAGTGATGTTCCTTTGTGACTCAAAAATTGTCTTTTGTTCCATTACAACATCTCCCAGGATCCCTCGTCACAGTACATACAATTGTTTCACTCTTCTAGTAATCATTAAGGAAAGAATAAAAAATTAATAAAACAAAATGAAACGGTTCGAAAATTTACATTCCTGCTACTCATGCTTAATTGATATAATTTTTCACTTCCCAGTTTTGTACTATATACATCAAGGGAATAAAAGAGGCATAAGTAAGAAGCGTGCAGTGGTGGAATCATAGTGAAGTGTTGATGGCGCATTTTTCATTTGCGTTCAATAGGTTGGCAAAGTCCTTTGCAACCAAGAGAAGTGAGAGTTCCGATGGATGCAATGGAAGAGAAGCAATGGAAGAGAAGCTACGGGCAATGGCAAAGGAAGCCAGAAAGATCACTTCATGTTGCATAGCTCCGGCACCATTAATGTTGACGGTTCAAACAACTTTACCTCACTAAAATAATAAACGAAAAAAAATAATACAGAATTCGAAGGCTTCAACGGAAATGGAATATCCGTTAGGCCTTCAACGGATATGCATATCTATCAACAAATATCAGTATCCGTTAAAGGCCCAATGAATTCTCATTTTCGTTGAGGCCTTCGCAATTCTATTCTTCTCCATTTTTTCACATCACACGCAGCTAGTATATACCACTAGCACAACACAAATCTTACATAATGTACAACACACAATATACATGCAGATCAAACTATTTATCATGCCAACATTCATAAAAACGAAAGAAGCACCAACCTTGGTGGAGACCAAACGAAACGAAGGAAGAAACAGGGAAGAAGAAATGAAAAAGAAAATGGGAAAATGGTGAACAGAGGAATAAGAGAGGAGAGGAAGAAAGAAAGTAAGAGTGTGGGGGTAGGGGAGGAGTGTGCGACTGAGGGAATAAGAGAGAGGTAACAAATTAGGGTTTTAAGAAAAAACAGAAAAAGGTAAATGGTAAAAGTAAAAAGGGAATTTTCAGAATAAAATGAAAATTAGGGAGATGTAGGGAGAAAAATGTAATAATGTACGGATAAGCTCTCATTTTGTGACGATGAGTTTCTTTACGTCTATATAACTAATCATAACTTATGGGTATTATTAGCCACATTTTTTCCTAATAAATTTACAATATGCACATTATCTTATAAGTGATCATCGACCATAATTCCATATATTCCTGAATATACCATTGTTGTAGTAGTTAATGCCTACATTTCACACAGGGTTTTGTTAAATTTAGCGTATGAACTCTCTAATAATCTACACTAGTAAATAAATAGTTTTTTAAACTTCGGTTTCAAAAAAACTGAAGCGTATAAAAATGCGGTGGTAATTTCGTAATTCTGGCGACACTATATGTCTCGGTTCTTCAGTTTGAACCGATGCCTAAGGGGGTATACTACCTCAGTTCTTTCACCAACCGAGGCAAAACATCCTACTGAATCAGACTTTTCACCTGACAACTTTTTCGAAAGAGGTCTGATGCCTCGGTTCTCTGACCAACAGAGGCAAAAAACCCTGACAGCCTTTTCAAAATAGGCCTACTGCCTCGGTTCTCTGACCAACCGAGGCAAAAAACCTTGATAACTTTTTCGAAATAGGCCTACTACCTCGGTTCTCTGACCAACCGAGACAGTATGTCCTGCCAAAAATTGATTTTGAACGTTTCAAATTCATTTTGTCAACCTTTGCCTTAGTTCCATTTTAACCGATGTCATAGGCCCTTTATGTCTCGATTTAAGCGCGAACCGAGGCCTATAATTAGTAGATATTTTCAAAATTTTCATTTACAATTTTATTTTGAGCTTTTTCTGGAAGGTTTACGCATCGTTTTTTTTATGACCGAGGTAATAGTCTCTTCGATAGTTAAATTCCAGAAGCGTAAAACAGTAAGCACATTTCATTTTTTCTTCTTCTTCTTCCGCCAAAGAGTTGTTTCTCATCTCGTGCGAACAACTTCTTCGTGTCGCTCTGTCGCCGTTGTCTCCATCACTAGACACCACGCTGCCTTCATCACTGGTCGTCGTTGCTGCCTCCACGCCACTAGCCGTCGTCGTTGCCTCCACCACTGGTCGTCGTTGCATCTGTTGCACGAACATTGCTACCTCTATTTTTCTCGTGCGAACTACACTTTTCGTGGTTGCCACCCTCGTTCGTTGTCGCCACCGGCAGTTCATCGCCGCCAACGGTCGTTCGTCGCCACTTTCGACCCTTCATCTCCGCCTTCGGCCCTTCATTGCCACCTTCGATCGTTTCGCCGTCGCCTCCGACCGTTTCGTTTGCTGCCTCCGTTGTCTCATTACAAATTAAAAAAGAAAAAAAATATTTTAAATAGGCAAAAGACCCAATTTTTGAAGAAAAAAAGTATTTATCGCCTTAAATCGAAACCAACCGAGACTAAAGACTCCCACATATTATCTCGATTTAGAATCGAGGCAAAAAAATTATCCTTTTTTTCCTTTACTACACTAGTCCTAGTTAGTACATCATGTTTAATTGGTATAATAATATGTTATTAGTATGATCTTTTTATTTGTTATTTTGTCTCAACTTTTTAATATATATATATATATTTATTTATTTATTTATTTATTTATTTATTAGTGATAATGTTTTATAACTTTTCTCTAGAGCATAATTGACATGAACTTTGCTTCTTTCTTTTTTTTATATCTTATTTCTGTAGCGTAGACGACAGAAGATACCCAGTACATCCGTTTATAAATTCCGTTGCAGGAAAACAAGCTCTATTTTTTCTGATGAATGAAAGTTTAAAATTTTTGTCTAGTGTTTATGAACGTATCTAATGTATTAGAAACCGTTAAATGAAACGTGTATTTTTAGCCTTCCAATGTATTAGATGCCAAATTTTCATCGTACATTGTCCATATATATTGTCCTAGTTTAGCACTAGTTTGTAAGAAACACTAAATAAACAAAACATACACTTAGGAATGTTTCTAAATGTAAGTTATTTTCAAATAGTTTTACATTTATATAGCTCGTTTAAATATGTATGTAACTTCATATGAAAATTTATAGAAAGTTATTTACAAATATTTTTGTGGACAATTTTTTAAAGATATATTTACCTATCAATTTTAAAAATTTGTGGGTTATTATTAATTAAGAAAATATTATCTACGACTAGTTATTAAAAAAAATAGTAGGTAACTTATAAATGTATATTTCTGTCATCATTTAGTTTTTAACATTTATTACTTAATTGATTTTTGTGTTTTAGAAGATTGCCTTAATTATGGTTTGTTATAATTTGATTTATTGAATATGAGATTAAAAACACGTAACTATTAGTTACATAAATATTTTTTAGATATTTTAAAATGTGTTAATACAAAAATTGAGCTCATAAAAACAATATGAAGATATAAAAATAAATTGATTAAAGTTTTATGACAGAAAGAAAAAAAAAATAAAACTTTAATAACAAAGACAGAACTAACTCATATTTGTGAAATACCACTTTGATGTGTGAGTTTATTCAAACTAAAGTCAAACATATTTCATCTTAAATTTAAATTAAAAATAAAAGTATGAATGTTATATTAAAAAGTATTTTAAATACAACTTGAACATTAAAATTAAAAATAAATGAAATTGTGTTTAGGAATATGTATTTATTTATATCATTGTTTTAAAAAAATATCGAAATTAATATTGTTGCAAAAGATGCTTGTCGTGAACAATGAAACAGTTTCAGTTCTGGTCGACGAAATAACTGGTTTTGTCAAATTTTAGTTCCATAATAATCGTCCATCAAACTGTCCTTAATGACT